AAGTTGGTGGGTGATGGTGGACGAGCATGAACGGCATGCGATAGCGGAGCACCCGGGAATTAAAAAAGCTTTGGCACCAGCGAAGTTCAACCACAGTGCAGAAAAACGTCAGAAGTTGTTAAGCATGCGACAGAGAAGCACATGTCCCTAGTTATCAAACATAAGATTCGTGGGCGGAACAAGCATGTAAAAAATATTAATCGTCAAGACGTGACAAAGGGTTTGAACTCTGCACGAATTGAATGAGTGTTCTTGCAGCTGTGGCCAAGAAATAACTTAACCACTTACGGCACGAACCAGTGGTTCGTTTTCTGGCTCCGAAAGTATGAACAGCTGCGAACGACAGAAAAGACTTCTGAAGTTAAGCCGCCTCTCTGACTGGAAGAAGGTCCGTGAGGCACGAATCTGAACCGTCGGTCATCCGATTGACGAAATTCTGTTTTATGCCGTTTTCGGTATAACTCAGTATAACACGCAAATCCGTTACTCGATCTAGAGCAAGGTTTACCGAGTTAGTTAGAAATTTACGAAAATAAATAAAATACAAATATGAAGTACAAAATAGCAGATGCCCTTTTTGTTGAAATGTAATACTGAATCCTGAATCTAGATTTAAAGTAGATTTATTTTCAAAAATTTTACCTCATTTTATTTTTCTGGTGGAATAAACTACGGGAATATCGTTATCAATTTTATTTAGCAATTTACTTTGATACAGGCAGAAATTTGAATATCACTATCTCATCCGTATGTTCCAAAACCAATATCGAGCGACTTATCTCAACGCAGTTTCTGCAGTTCTATTCTCCTGTTGTCCCCAATGTATGATTTTAATCAAGCAGGGCAGCTGCATACATTTCTGACAGTCTCATTTATTGTACTGATGCACGACTACTTACGTCTTGCCTCATTACCTCTTCTCAGAGATCTCGAGAACTCATGAGTTCTACCTTTGAATAAATATAATGAATAAAGTCTATTTACAGAAATCATTTTGACAAAACTGTTCGGTGGCAATTTTTTCTCTTCTTTTTCCTGTATCAACCAATGAACCATACCGGTTTGATAGAGTTGTTTGCTATAGCAATCTTGATACGACTGATGATAACGATAATAATGATAGCGATCAAGAAAATGATTATACTTCTTAGAATTAGTGTAAACTTGTCAGAGACTGTGCGCTAGGATTTTATGTTCTTGGAGATGCATTTCGATGCATGATTTCATCACCATCGAAGCTTGAATCCTGCCAGAAGATTGTAAACGTTAGACACTATCTGACACGTTTTTGCAATGCGGTAGTTTAAATCTGACTATTTTACCGTGTTGCATTAAATCTGATATGCCATTATAGTTTATATCAATCGTTTTTTACAAAATCTGTTTGAAAATAAACCTATTTTAACAACACCTGTTTGCATAAGCTACATCTATGTAGTTGTGAATAAAACTAAATTATTTTATTTAGCTCATCAGAATTACTTCGGCATCGACGAGAACTTGGGACCAGTGGCGATCAGTATTGTCAAGGACAAAGTTGATTCGTTTGAAATGAGGAAAGCCGGCCTCATGGTGCCGACGTTGTACAGAATCATCATCAGACTTAGTGACGTATGTTCGTCTTGTTCCATTTTTGCCACTGCTTTGTTTTGATGTTGATAGATATATGATATTTTTATTATTTCGATGATATTTTTATTCTTTTGTTCATTTAACACGATTGGCTCTCCGTCTTAGAAATGAGCTCTCTCACGTAGATGTTGTTTTGCACCTCTTCAGGCTTAAGTTTGTTAATCCGTTGACTTCAAAACGTCGCGCGGGGTCACAAACATTAAACATGAGATAAGCCTTTTTAGGTTCATTTTCAGTCCTACTTTGATACAAGCATCATACCAGATTTTAGATTATTCAATGGAGTTCTTCCGGTGCTCATGGGAGAACCAGAATATCATTCCTGGTATCAGTAAAACTCATTGTTCTTCAACACCTGATTTCTTCTATTGCGAATGGTTCGATGATAATGTGCCTCCCTGTCAAAAGTCCTTTTCGATTTTCAATTTGAGCTTGCGCTTTCGTGAAGCTTCACACTAACAGCTTCCTGCATTCTTGTAAATCACTGTGATGATATTTTTGTGTCTTTTCTTTATTCCCTGGTTATTATAGGAATCCAGTGCAAACTGGGTGTAAATTGAATCAAAAGCCTTACAAATCGACGAACTCCAGGCAGAGAGAAAACTGGTATTCGTTGTTTCTCTGAATTTCTTGTTCTACCACCTGGCGATGATTCTCCTTACTAAATCCGCTTCTTGATCCTGCTTTCTGCACTGACTGTACAGCGTTCAGCTTTTCTTGAAGTTTGATCGTTTTGACTACAAACTGATCGTCTATAATTCTTCGAAATTTTTCTAACTCCTTTTTTAGTGGAATAGAATAATTGAGGAGGTAGTTCAGTCATCTGGAATATTCATTCCCTTCATATAGCGTGAATAAAATAGGCCATACTATACGAGTCACACCGCAAATCTTCGAACTGTTCTGTTGGAGGTTGATTAGCCTTTCTTAAAGAGTTGTCACAGTTATGGTGAAGCTATTTATTTAAAATTACCCACAGTAAATTCCGTTTTAATCCTCTGCTTGTTGCATACTTCATATGACAGTTGTTAGCCAAGGTTGACAAATATCTACCGTGGTTGTTCCTTACTTCATAGCAGTTATGACTTCTAAACGTTCTAATTAATATTCTTTGCCCAGCATGTTCGTTATCTTTGTTTATTAACAACGTTGGCTGTTGAATTCATATATAGCTGGTATTAAATTGGGTCACTAAAAGGCCATTATCAAGTCTAGCAACTGGAGACAGGAGAACAAAGTACTGAATTTGTATTGCTTAACCAAAGATATACAGTTGAATGTATTCTTCTCAGTCTCTGTGCTATGATTGGTAGAGTTTGTCATGGATCCGGATGCAGCGATAATGGGCATTTGTTAGATTTCTTAATCGCTATTCATCTAGAAGAGAGATATTGAGAATTCGCGTGAAACGACTAACTGGCCATCATCAAAATTTTTATCTCGGTAGATGGATGAAATTTATCGTATTGTACTACTGTCTATGCCATAAGATTCAAATTGTTTGTAGTTATCTACATTCCGCGGTTCGGTGCTGGAAGAAAGCCTTCCGAGCTTCAGCAGCGCGAAGGAACAGTTTCAGCAGCAGCAACAGCAACAACAACAGTCGCAATCACAGCAGGTCAGCTCTGTGTCTGCAGGGCCTGGCTCCTCGATATACAGTGGAGGCAAGATACCGGTCAAGGAACTGCTCGATCTGATCATCCCTGAGTTGCAACAGAACTGTCTCCGATTGGCGCTTCCCGTGCCTCGCACCGAAGAGATGCTGCTACGACTCGACGAGCAGTCGGTACGCCCGATATTTGATGACTAATATTCGTTGTGTTATACTACGGCTTTAATGTTTTTGCCATCTACAGATCTATATTCGCTACAAAGTCGGAATACTGTACTGCAAGGCCGGTCAATGCACAGAGGAACAGCTGTACAACAATGGTATGCGAGAAATCTGAGGTCATCTTGCCGTCGGCTGATGCTTCAGCTTTGTCGTTTTAGAATATTCTGGACCAGCGTTCGAAGAGTTTTTGGACATACTTGGCCAACGAGTTCGACTCAAGGGCTTCGACAAGTATAAGGGCGGTCTGGACAACAAGGGCGATTCGACCGGCATGTATTCGCTGTATACCATGTATCAGCAGTACGAAATCATGTTTCACGTCTCGACCATGCTTCCGTTCACGGCCAGCAATCGACAGCAGGTACTGTACGATTGACTGTGCAGAACGATCAATAATGAGCTGTTTTCTCAAAATTATTGTTACTGTTACCGTTTAAACGAACGGCACAGCGAATTCTATCTTCTAACTTCCTGGTTTCGAATCACTTTGCTGAAGCAAGGTCATATTCCGAGTGTGTCAAAGGATTATGGACAGTAGTACATTCTTCAGATAAGAATTTATCCTAGAGAATGCGCAGTTGCATATGATTTGGTGCCAGTGCTGGGAAGACGAAGTAGATGAAACTTTGTACTCGTTGGAATGTTGGTGTTCCTTACACATTCATGGTGCGGCTACCTTTGGCGCCATCTATTTCATAAGGCTATCAG